TATTACATTTTTCATATATGTATACATACGCATGCATGCATGCATGCATATATACATATATGGCCCAGTGTCGGGTGGCCCCCCCGGAGATGGTGATGATCCCTATTGTAAAAAGATGTATACATATGTATGGAAGTCGTAACCACGCATATATATGAAGGCAGTTTATGGGGGCGGGGCCTTGAACACAAGACGCGGGATCATATATTGCGCAATATACATATTTACATATCCACTCCACATATACAAATTCACACACACATATATATAGTATGCATACATGTTTACACATGTATGTAAAGACATATTTACAAAAATACTTGCATGCATCAAAACATATATATACGCATATATACATTGTGCATAGCTACATATTCACAGCACAACCATGCATATTTACATAAATACGTGTAAACATACATATGTACATATAAACATATTCACATCATATTCAGATATACATATACGCATATATACATATACGTAGACGCACATTTAATCATATACATTTAAAGGTGTAAACAACAGTACATATATACATACATACAGATATACATATATACGTGTAAACAAATGTACATATATACTTTTACACACACATATATATATATTTACATAAGTACATATTCGCATAAATACCAATTTACATAAATACATAGATATTCAAATGCATCAAAACGTGTACACATATGCATATAGTCAAATCACACGTATTTACATTCATACATGTAATCATATACACATATTTACATATTTACGTGAAAACATATACACATATATGCACATATATATACATACAAATATTTATATACATACATACTTTTGTATTTCATAAACCTTTAAATTCATTTACATCGTTATACCTATATACATATACATGTGTATATGCATTTACATTTGTACTTGCATGTACGTATATTTATAGATACATACATTTGCATACAATTATTATTTAGGTACCGGCCTGGACATGAGTTTTGGGGGGCCTCTTTGGGAGGTTTATGCCGCTATGTGGGGCTATGTATGTATGTACACTGTCTAGTGAGAAATTGCAATTTGTGTAGTTAAAAAATTGTAACCTGTGTAGCTACAAATAGTGAATGGTGTAGTTGAGAATTGTAAATGGTGTAGTTTTAAATTTGTAAATTGTGTAGTTGCATGTTGACTATTGTGGACGCACAAAATAGGAAATTAGAGCCGCAACGTTGCAATGAGGGCTGTTGATTCCAGACGATTGTTTGGCCTTGATTGGTGAATAGATCCGGTTTTGGTATTTGTTTAAAACATTGTAAATTGCCTAGCTGAAAGTTCCAACTATCTAACTGAATTAGTGGGACAATGCTACTGGAATTTGCAATAGGTCAAATCAGAACACATGGGTCGCAATTGAATCAGAGGGATGACCACGCAATCAAACCACCATCAAAAAATTAACACGACAAAACAACGAAATTGGTTCCAGATCAAACCAATTGATTCACTTCATTTCTTTTGAGATGGATCATGTGGGGTCATCACTTCAGAGTTGAAAATTGACAACAAGACCCTGTCCATGGCATGTTCAAACATTGGCCAAAAAGTGTCTCAAAATTGGCCCAAAAATTCTTCCCAAATTGTCCCGAAAACAGAATAAATTGTCGAATTGTTAACTACGCAAATATTCCCAGAGTTAGCTGCACAATTTATTTTTTGAATGCTGATAGCTTCTTACGGGGTAAATTGTGTAGTTAGGTAAATTGTAAATTGTGGCAAGTTTGGCACAGTTTGGATCACCATTTTGGCCAGCTTTGGGGGCCCAGATTTTGAGATCATGCTACTTGAAAGCTAGAACGGGACAATTTGCCTAAATGACGAAACAATATACCCCAAAATCGTTAGACAAGTTACCCCAAATAACTAGACAAGGTACACCAAATTAACAAGACAATTTACACGAAAGAATTAGCCAATTTACCCCAAATAACTAGACAATTTACTTCAAATTAACAAGACAATTTACATCAAGAATTAGGCAATTTACACCAAATAACAACAATTTGCCCAAAACAATTTCACAATTTAGCCAAACGAATTACACAGTTTACCCAAAATAATTGCAACATTTACCACCAACCTAACTCGACAAAAAACCATTGATATGCCCTAAAGAAAACGTGTTAGGTAGGGCCTAGGCCTATACCTAACATATATTTACAGATATACTTATACACATTTAGATAGATAGATCGATAGATAGATAGAAAATTTATCTATACAAATGTTTACATATATGCTGGCAATCATTTGCATAAATACATACATGTATAGATATATACTTATGCATTTAAATGCATATATATAAATAAATAAATAAATCAATATATATATACATACATTTAAAAAATATATATTTACATATGCATATATATATATGCTTTTCATATGTATATTTGCAAACATGCATATATGCATATATGTCTATATGTATATATGTATGAATGCGTATATGTGGATATGTGGATTTGTATATTTGAATATATGTATGTTTCCATAAATGTGTAAAATACATATATGTCTGTATGTATTTATGTATATGTGTACATATGTATACATGTGTATAAGTGTATATGTGTACATGTGTATATGTACATATGTGTGTATGTATATATGTATACATGATTGTACATGTATATATGTAAATATCTATATATGTATTTATGTATAAATGTATATATGTATAAATGTATATATGTGTATATGTATGTATGTGTATATGTGTATATGTGTATTTGTATATACATATACGAATGTACATTCAGGTATATACATACACACGTGTATACATATATACCTTCATAGTGTACGTATATACGTATATACGTACATGCCTACGTACGTATTTACAGATGCACATATACATATAGGTGTATAAATATGAAATGTTTTTTTTACCTCATTTCCACATAGATGCGTATACATATATGCACATACGTACGGACATATATACATACGGATATAAACACACGCACGCGCACACACTTACATAGGTATATTTTCATGTGCTCACACACATGTTTTTACATGTATATAGATATATTCGCACATTCTAATCATTGAATACGTGGATAAATAGATAGATAGGTAAATCAGTAAGTAAATAAACACACGCACACACACACATATATATATTTATAGGGGTATAGTTTCAGAAATGGTATGCAGGTTACAGATGTTATGCAGAAATTTTGTGCAAGTTTCAGGGATGCTGTGCGTGTTGCGCAGAAGTTGTCATCGTTTCACAACCCCCCTAATAACGTTCGTGTTCAACTGCTGTGAGAACGGATGGCCCCCCCAAAACTTACAGAACATGCCACAAGGGGAGTGCGCAAATTGCGGTATTTCCTGTGTAAACATCCACCACAGTGCATGGAATGCTCACTTCCCCAATGTCTATGCCCAACTCTATCACTGTGTCTCTGTGTCTAGATCTGGATTTTAGGAATTCTTGTTTTCTGCGCGCAAATCCGCCAAGACTAATGAAACCAAACAAACAAAAAACAAAACACCAAAAAACACAAAAACTAAAACCAAAAAAAAACAAAAAACACATACAGGACCCAACTCTCTGAATCCGGGGGTGCATTTGTTTTTGTTTTGGTTTCTTGTTTTTTGGTTTCTTGGTGTTTTGGAAGGCTGGCAAAACAAAAAAAACATGGCAGGACCTCACTCGTTGCTACTGCTTCCTCCTTAGGGCCTTTGGGTTTGCAAACCTGTTTGGGTCTGTGGTTTCATGAGAAAACCTTTAAAAATCAATGGAAAATGCAGGATCGGGGGAAGTTCAAGAGCTTGGAGCATGGATTAGGCAATTTTGTTTTTGATTTATGTCTCAAAATATGCCAAAAGACTATGCCCAAACATAGGCAGCCAATGAGTGTGTAGGACTGATTTTGATATTGACATTGCCGAGTCAAACCCTCCGGCCAACACATGTTCAAACACTTTACATGGTTCCGTTGAAAGGAGTTTTGCACCTCTTGGAAATGAGTGTTCCCTTCAACATGTGCAATTCTTGTCACATGGTAGAAAACATTCCGTTTAAGTAACACATTTCTACTTCTATGTCAAAAATGAATCCTTTTCCGCATGCAATGCCCTTTTCACAATGTTTGGTATGTTCAAAATGAAAAACACATGGTATATGATACGGTATATGTAAGCATGTAAACTATGTCCTTCAAGATTGTACATCGTTTCTTTGAGTACGTGGTGTGATATTTTTCTTTTGAATTGATTTAACAATACAGTCGGGTATGCTTGAACATGCTTCAGTTAGGTTGGGATGAGCCCAGGAGGTGCAGAGGGACGAGTCCTGGCACGCCCGACTGCTCAAAAATCATTTGCGTTATGTAGGATGGTGCTGAACACTTGCCTTTTGCACAGAATGGTGGATGAGTTTCGGGTGTGAGGATGCAGGGCATTTCCTTTCTGAACCTAACGGTGGTGATGGAGAGAGTGCGAGGGGAGGGAGAGGGAGAGAGAGAGTGAGAGAGCGAGCGAGGGAGGGAGGGAGGGAGGGAGGGAGAGAGAAACAAAGAGAAACGGAGAAATGAGACGCATGACTGTGTTTGACCTCGCAGCCAAAATCCCCAGCGGACATTAGCAGCATTAGCAGCACACCTCGCACGCCTTCCTCCATTAAATCTTTGTTGGAGTAGCCAAAGTCGTCACAGTGGTTATGATGTTGTTCGATTGTTTACTGTTCCTCACACATATTTCCCAAACCTTAGCTTTGGAATGGTTTTAATTAATGCAGAACCCTATTTTTTTTATATTCATACTCGGTTTTAGCTGGGCGTCTTGGCCAGTAGTCTGTCCAAAGGTCCTGGGGGAGGGCATCCGTATTTGGTGAAATGAAGTTCTTTACTGAACGGTTGGGACCGGTGGGCAGCGGGCTTGTGAATCTTTGCGTGGCAGCTTCAGATTCTTGAGACGGGTAATGGTATGCAATCGGCATTTTTGAGGAACGACCCCGAACGGCAAATGCAGTGCTTCTTGGGGCAGCAAAAAGCAGCTCAAGAGGGAGATGATGAAGCCCAAGGCGTTGACCATGAATTTGTCACAGCCCTGGAGCATGGATTGCCTCCAACAGGAGGCCTGGCCGGTCTCATCGTGGTTCATCCCCAAGTTTAGGCTGGTGGGCCGCTTTGTCAAGGTATTTTGTTGTTTTCTGGATTAGACGTATCCGATGAGTCAACTATAGTTGGCTATGGCTTCCATGCTTCGTGCCACCTTCTTGGAAGGCTGGGGATGTGGAGTTGACCGGCTGACCATGTTCCTCTCAGACAAGCGACCTGGCTCAGAGATGCTCAGAGCGTTGACCACCAAGTGTGCCTCATGTTCGACAGGGCGGTAGAGAGACAGAGAGTGTGCTGAAGTAGTCAAGAAGGCCCCAAGGAGAGATACATGTCTCAATGGACAGATTCTGTACCACCAGCATAGAGCAGACCGATTGTGTGTGTGTGTGGTCTGGTCAGAGACATTCGCTCTCATTTGCTGCCCGAGAATGGGAACCTGGAATAGTAATTTTGGCCATGTATGTGTGTGTATGTGGTGTAAGGTAATGTAAGGTAATGTAAGGTAATGTAAGGTAATGTAAGGTAATGTGTGTATGTATGTATGCAATGCAATGCAATGCAATGCAATGCAATGCAATGCAATGTAATGTATGTATGTATGTATGTATGTATGTATGTATGTATGTATGTAATGTATGTAGTGTATGTAATGTATGTAGTGCATGTAATGTATGTATGTATGTAATGTATATATTGTAACGTATTGTATTGTATTGTATTGTATGTAATGTAATGTAATGTAATGCAATGCAATGCAATGCAATGCATGTATGTATGTATGTAATGTATGTAATGCATGTATGTATGTAATGTATGTAGTGTATGCAATGTATGTAATGCATGTATGTATGTAATGTATGTAGTGTATGTAATGTATGTAATGTATGTAATGTATGTAATGTATGTATTGTAACGTATTGTATTGTATGTAATGTAATGTAATGTATGTAATGCATGTAATGTATGTAATGCATGTAATGCATGTAATGTATGTATGTATGTTTGTATGTATGTATGTATGTATGTATGTATGTATGTATGTATGTATGTATGTATGTATGTATGTATGTATGTATGTAATGTATGTAGTGTATGCAATGTATGTAATGCATGTATGTATGTAATGTATGTAGTGTATGTAATGTATGTAATGTATGTAATGTATGTAATGTATGTAATGTATGTAATGTATGTAATGTATGTAATGTATGTAATGTATGTAATGTATTGTAATGTATTGTATTGTTATTGTTAGTGTTATTGTCATTGTCATTGTCGAAGGAAGTTTAGAAGTGAAACTTCCGACAATATGGACAGTTGAAAAGCAGAGGTGAGAAGAGTCAGAAGAGACAAGATCAGAAGAAAGAAGAGGTAGATGCGCGAAGAGATAGGAAAGTCGCGATTCACTGTGTTTTTCCAATGATTTGTGGCTCCGGAGGGTCGAAAAGTAGGCTCGCTAAAGCGGCGGGCGCGGAGCCAGCTGGCCAGATGAGACATGAAAAAGTGCACGCCGTTGTGGCGCGAAGCACATTTCCAAGTCAAAATGGACAAAGCACTAGAGGAGCGGACCACTTTTGGAAGTTGCGATGTCAAAAAAGTGCACGCCGTTGTGGCGCGAAGCACATTTTGAAGTCAAAATGTACAAAGCACACCATTCTCGGACCACTTTTGGAAGTTGAGATGTCGAAAAAGTGCACGCCGTTGTGGCGCGAAGCACATTTTGAAGTCAAAATGTACAAAGCACACCATTCGCGGACAACTTTTGGAAGTTGAGATGTCGAAAAAGTGCACGCCGTTGTGGCGCGAAGCACATTTTGAAGTCAAAATGTACAAAGCACACCATTCTCGGATGCGAAGCACATTTCCAAGTCAAAATGCACAAAACACACCATGTTCGGACCACTTTTGCAGGTTCAGATGTCCAAAAAGTGTCGAAAAAGTGCACGCCGTTGTGGCGCGAAGCACATTTCGAAGTCAAAAGTGTAAAAAACTGAGGGTTTTGAGCCTTTTTTGACGTGAAGATGTCGAAAAAGTAGACACTGATTAACTTAACTAACTTGACTAACTTAATTAAAGGACCGGATAACCCCACATGTTACCAACTTCTTTAGACTTAGACTGACCATAGAAGAGCAAGAAGGGAAGAGGAAGTATAAGAGTGATGGAGCGGTGATGGTGGGTGAGTTTGTGTGTATGTATGTATGTATGTTCATGTACAGTGAGTGAGTGAGAGTGTGAGTGAGTGATGTGAGTGTGGTGTGTGTGGTGTGTGTGAGTGAGGGATGTGAGAGTGAGTGAGTGAGTGAGTGAAGTGAAGTGAAGTGAAGTGAAGTGAAGTGAAGTGAAGTGAAGTGAAGTGAAGTGAAGTGAAGTGAGTGAGTGGGTGAGTGAGTGAGTGCGGTAGGTGAGGTAGGTGAGGTAGGTGAGGTAGGTGAGGTAGGTAGGTGAGGTAGGTGAGGTAGGTGAGGTAGGTGAGGTAGGTGAGGTAGGTGAGGTAGGTGAGTGAGTGAGTGAGTGAGTGAATGTGAGTGAGTGTGAGTGAGTGTGAGTGAGTGAGTGTGAGTGAGTGTGAGTGAGTGTGAGTGAGTGTGAAGCCTCCCATTAACGTCCCCACCACCGGCCAACGTGGTGTCGGCTCGACCGAAGCCGAACCGTTTGGTAAGGACGAAGGCATCGACCTCAGTGAAGAAACAGGACTGAAGATGAACTTGTTATTTTCCTTCCATCGGAAATGCCCGGAACTCAACCTACCGGATTCAGAAAGCATCTTCAATAGTGATTTTAATGATGTACAGACCTCACGGTGACCCCGGCTTCCAGATTCCAAGTCCGTTGAAAGCAAAATTCTAAGAAAAAACTCTCCCTATCTATGTGTCTCTGCCTATCTCTCTCTCTCTCTCCTCTCTCTCTCTCTCTCTCCCTCTCTCTCTCTCTCTCTCCCTATCTCTATCTATCTATCTATCTATCGATCGATCGATCGATCTATCTGTCTATCTATCCATGCATCCATCCATCAATCAATCCATCTATCTATTTCTCTCTCTCTCTCTATCTCTCTATCTATCTATCAGACCTGTCTATCTATCTATCTGTCTATCTGTCCTTACATCAAGATATCTATCTATCTACCAATCAATCAATCTATTTATCCATCGATCGATCTCTCTGGCTATCTATCCATCTATCTATCGATCTATCTAGCAATCTATCTGTTCAATCAATCCATCAACAACCCATCCATCCTGCATGAGTGAGTGAGTGAGTGAGTTAGTGAGTGAGTGAGTCAGTGAGTGAGTGAGTAAGTACATGTATTGTCCCACGCCTGCCACGCAAAAGAGGCGGAGCCCCAAGGGACGCCAGGGCGTACATCAGACCCTTTGGCAATGCACATTGTCCCACGCCTGCCAAGCAAAAGAGGCGGAGCCCCAAGGGACGCCAGGGCGTACATCAGACTCCTTTGGCAATGCACATTGTCTCACGCCTGCCACGCAAAAGCGACGGAGCCCCAAGGGACGCCAGGGCGTACATCTGACCCCTTGGCAGTGCACGTTGATGTACGCCTGCCACGCAAAAGCGGCGGAGCCCCAAGGGACGCCAGACCTTACATCTGACCCCTTGGCAGTGCACATTGTCCCACGCCTGCCACGCAAAAGAGGCGGAGCCCCACGGGACGCCAGGGCGTACATCAGACATCAGACCCCTTGACAGTGCACATTGTCCCACGCCTGCCACGCAAAAGAGGCGGAGCCCCAAGGGACGCCAGGGCCTACATCAGACTCCTTGGCAGTGCACATTGTCCCACGCCTGCCACGCAAAAGAGGCGGAGCCCCAAGGGACGCCAGGGCGTACATCAGACCCCTTGGCAGTGCACCTTGTCCCACGCCTGCCACGCAAAAGCGGCGGAGCCTCAAGGGACGCCAGGGCGTACATCCAACCCCTTGGCAGTGCACGTTGATGTACGCCTGCCACGCAAAAGCGGCGGAGCCCCAAGGGACGCCAGGGCGTACATCTGACCCCTTGGCAGTGCACATTGTCCCACGCCTGCCACGCAAAAGAGGCGGAGCCCCAAGGGACGCCAGGGCGTACATCTGACCCCTTGGCAGTGCACGTTGATGTACGCCTGCCACGCAAAAGCGGCGGAGCCCCAAGGGACGCCAGGGCGTACATCAGACTCCTTGGCAGTGCACATTGTCCCATGCCACGCAAAAGAGGCGGAGCCCCAAGGGACGCCAGGGCGTACATCAGACCCCTTGGCAGTGCAGATTGTCCCACGCCTGCCACGCAAAAGCAGCAGTGAGTGCGTGAGTGAGTGAGTGAGTGTGTGTGTGAGTGTGTGTGTGAGTGTGTGAGTGAGTGAGTGAGTGAGTGTGAGTGAGTGTGAGTGAGTGAGTGAGTGAGTGAGTGTGTGTGAGGTGAGTGAGTGAGTGAGTGTGTGAGTGAGGGTGAGTGAGTGTGTGAGTGAGTGAGTGTGTGTGAGTGAGTGAGTGTGAGTGTGTGTGTGAGTGAGTGTGAGTGAGTGAGTGTTTGTGAGTGAGTGAGTGTGACTGTGTGTGTGAGTGAGGAGGAGGACGGGCGGGCGGCGGGCGGACGGAGGCGCCGGATACAGAACTAAAAACAAAAACCCCACACGTCAATGCGGGGAACTAACTTCACTAACTTAACTACCCTAACTTCGACGACAACAGCAACAGCAACAGCAACAGCAACAACAACAACACCAACCACAACAACAACACCAACTACAACTACAACTACAACTACAACTACAACAACTACACAACAACTACAACTACAACTACAACTAGAACTACAACTACAACTACAACAGCTACAACAACAGCAACAACAACAACAACAACAGCAACAGCAACAGCAACAGCAACAACAACAACAACAACAACAACAACAACAACAACAACTACAACTACAACTACACAACAACTACAACTACAACTACAACTACAACAACTACAGCTACAACAACAACAACAACAACTACTACTACAACAACTACAACTGCAACTGCAACTACAACTACAACAACAGCAACGACTACAACTACAACAACAACAACAACAACTACTACTACTACTACTACTACTACTACACTACACAACAACTACAACCACACAACAACTACAACTACAACAACCACAACTACAACTACAAAACAACTACAGCTACAACCACATGACTGCAACTACACTACACTAATTACATTTCACCACAACTACAACTCCACTACGCTACAACTACAACTACAGTTGCAGTACATCACACTACATCTAGCAGTTGTGAGTGAGGTGACCGCTGCAAAAATTGCAACCATTCCAACAAACACAACTCCAACCACCTTTCGGTCAATCAGTGGCTTCGCTCTGCCATCCCTGATTCACAACAACCAACTTCTCCTATAGGTTTCCTATTTTTGAAACTTCCGCCACCGCCTTGTGCAGTACTACTGGTAATTGTATTGTAATGTAATGTGATGTGATGTAATGTAACGTAATGTAATGTAATGTAATGTATGTATGTATATATACATACCACGACGCACACGCACACGCACATGCACACGCACACGAGTGGACTAGAGCAAAGAGACGATTCGAGAAAAAAGTGATCAAGAGCAAAGAGGTGTTCAGAGCAAGAAGGGACCAGGGCAAAAAACGAGAAAACATGAAAACAAATCCGAACTGCAAAAAATTGCAAAGAGGGATCAGTGGCCTGACCAGACTCAGGGCGACTGGTGCGCAAATCAGCAGTCCCACTGCACAGGTGTTGCGCACGCATTCTTTAGACATTTTTTTTCTTTTGCTTGGTCCTGACGTCCTTGACATCCTTACCTCCTGAAACTGCGGTCCCGGGTGCTATCACAAAAGGATGGTGCCTGAATGTAAACCGCGCCGGCAGCATCACCAAACCACCAAGGAACAACATCAAAGAGGTCATTCTGTTCCCTGCTATGAAGCCACAATGAGCCGCGAGTTGTTGTAACGTTCGTCAGCTGGACGGCCAGAAGCCTGACGATCACAACCGTGCTTAGTTGATGGACACTGCGCAGGGTCACTGCTGAAAAGAGATTAATGCACTTTGTTTGTCGGCTGAGGTAACTCTTTTAAATTGTGTTTGTTTTGCAACTATCCGCTTTTGGAGTATGATTTTGAATGCAAGATGCCGAAACATGTCTTGCTCAAGCTGTTATCCTAAAAATTAGAAACTATGGCCAGCTGTGATGATACAATACGAGTATAGCAGCTTAGCTGAATTGAATGGTTTTGGCGTGCGTTGGCCGAATGACCGAACCTACAGTAGTGTACTCTGCGTTTGTGCCGTATTGCATCATAATACTGAGATTGACCTAAGACCTCTCAAGCCTTATTCTGGGAGATGGTGTTTGAACGGCATGCGGCATACACCTTGTGATTTGAGCAGGTGCTGCATTTCCAGTCTTGGGGGCTGATGTCAGCATGCGTGGTGTGAGGTGCGTACAACTGTGCGTTCTTATTTCGCCTTCGCGGCAGTGTTTTTCCTTTTGCCTGCCTCGTGGCCTTCCCATGCGCTTGAGCAGCAGTTTAAATGTTTTGATGTCTTTGCAATCTTTGAATTTTCAACATTTTAGTGCAACATCTTCCACTTTTCTTTCAAATCCCTTTTTCAACTACGCTGTGGGGGAACAGATGAGGCACGCTTGCTGCGACTCTCTTGTGCCTTGACTACAGCCGGAAAAAACACAAAAGACATGCAGAAACGAACAGAGCAAAGGATTTTTTTTGTTTCCTTTGTCTCAGAAGCTCCAAAGCTGGAATGTTGGCAGTTCTGGTCACCAGCCAAGCTTGGGTCTGAATATTTAGAATTGACTTGTGTTGGTTTGAATCATTGAAATTTGAAGCACATGAAATGTATCTGTTGCTGGATACTGTAAGATGTGGTATTCATTTTCAAGGGTTAAAATGCGCCATTCCCCAAGTGATACGCATTTTAATTTGCCTCCCCGCTTTTGCTTCAACATGTTTGTTTTTTCCTTAAATCGGGCTTTATAATATTGGCAAAATGGTTTTAGTTCTAGAAGCAGTTTGATGCTCATGAGCTGGTACCCTTGTGCGACCACAGGTGCTGATACCCGCTCAGTTCTTCTTGCTGCCTACGTTGTCCCTGACTAAATTTGTTTTGGGCTCCAGTCGTACGTTGCGACGCGTTTTGAGCTTCCTTTTCTGCTTGTCAGCGCGTGTTTATGTGCATATTCCTCCACGCCTGGCACGCAGCCGGGGAGGGGGGGTTCGGGTATAGGGTGGGGGGTGGGGGGGCTAATAACGTCTTTTGGCCTTCGTTTTTTGGCCGCCGTTTGTTTCTTTCGCAATTTCAAACACTTTCTTGATGCTACGCTGTGGGCTGTGGACGTTCTCTTGCAATTTTCCCACGCTCTTGATGCTACGCCGTGGAAGTTCTCTTGCAATTTTTAACACGCTCTTGATGCTACGCTGTGGAAGTTCTCTTGCATTTTTTTAACACGCTCTTGATGCTACGCTGTGGACGTTCTCTTGCAATTTTCAACACGCTCTTGATGCTACGCTGTGGACGTTCTCTTGCATTTTTTTAAACACGCTCTTGATGCTACGCTGTGGACGTTCTCTTGCATTTTTTCAACACGCTCTTGATGCTACGCCGTGGAAGTTCTCTGACTCTTGCAATTTTTAACACGCTCTTGATGCTACGCTGTGGACGTTCTCTTGCAATTTTACACGCGCTCCTAATGCTACGCTGTGGAAGTTCTCTTGCATTTTTTTTTTACACGCTCTTGATGCTACGCTGTGGACCTTCTCTTGCAATTTTCAACACGCTCTTGATGCCATGCTGTGGACGTTCTCAATTACAAAAAATCGCACCTTCAAAACCATGACGGTGTAATATGCAAAACCACAAAAATCACCTGAAAAACCATAGAAAAACCATGAAAAACCAACATGACGTCACTTGGCTGCAATTGAAGCGCGTCGTGACGATGAATTGAAATCAGCACCAATTGTCCAGGAAGAGCTTTGGCACTTACCACGACCTGGACTTGTCGGACTTTGCATTGCTAGCCGAGGGCAGCTCTGGGGCTTGGAGCGGTTTTAATTTCTTGGCTGCTTGCATCAAGCAGGACACAGTCCGAGCACAGTCAAGGGGGCACAGTCATGCACAGTCAAGGCAATATCTAGCAGGGTGTCATCAATAGTGCGCGCATGTATGCGCATCATGCACACAGACAGCCCGACACAGCGCTGCGGGGGCTTAGTTTCCCACTTTCCCTCTTTGTAATGCTTGGACGTTTCGCTGCCAAGGTTGGCTTCGTTATTGTGTTTAGAACATCCCAAGCAACCCATCTGAAGGAGTGTGCGCGAGCTGTTTCGATTGATGCCAATAGGTGACTACTAATCTGAAGCATTCTCAAGCGACCAAGAAACTAAGGCATACACTCGTTTTTGGAATGCATTGAGTGATACGCATCAGATGATGGCTGCATGGCTGGAAGCAGCAAGTAGCATCGTTGCCTTTTCAAGGAGCATCTTTGAACGCACGGGCCTGGGCAATGCGGGGACAGAGTCATGGGTGCTGACATGGGCTGTTGATGAGGGATCAGAATGGATCAGATATGTTGTGAGATGATGTGGGATGGGTTTGCTGTGGGCATCGCCAGATCTTTCCCGCCAAATGTGAGGAGCTCACCTTCAGATCCTTTGCTGGTTGAGAACTGGCTTCACACGGCTCTTTAGCAGCATTGGCATTGACAAAGTTTGGGAAGTATCATTTAAGGAACACGTGTTCCTGTCGCTTGTGAATCTTCTATAACATAGAATTTGTTTTTGCACTTTGTCCTGTTTGGCCCCCCTACTGCCCCCTTCCTGTGTAGGTCATTCGTTTGTTCAGCTTGCTGAGTGCTTCAGCTTTGCAAGAATTGACCGACGTTGCATACCATCATACGTGGGGACTGCCAACGCTCGATGCATCTGCAATTGACCCACAGAGCATCAACACTCTTGATGCTTCTTCCTGTAGGGTCGACTTGTTGTATCATTGGATTCAACAGTTTGTTTGCGATGGTATCCAGCTTGGAATCCTGACTACGCCACCACCCCTGCTGAACCGTACGTTCTTTGAGCTGGCAAAGGGCATGGATAAATATCAGGATGCGATGAAACATTCAAAGATCGCGTTTCCATTCCCGTACGCGCAAACTACATTGATGCTTTTGATTTTTCATTGGATCTTGACACCCCTGGTCATGGTACAATGGACCAATACTGTTTTGGGATCCGCAGTATTCACATTTGTTCAAGTATTCACATTGTGGTGCCTGAACGCTACTGCTGTTGGTTTTGAGCGACCCTTTGGCGGTGATGAAAATGACATTGATCACATAGAACTGCAGATGACTATGAACAAGAGCCTCATCAACTTGATGGAACCAAGATCACGGCGGCTTCCATTCATACCCGCATCAACTTTTTTGGACATTGATGTTTTGAGGAAGAGAGACACGATTCACTCAGCTGCTTTGCACCAGGAAGGTTGGGAACTGAAAGATTTGGACACCGCAGGCTTTTGGAAAGGCGCTGTTTTGCAGTCCCTGTGTGCCTTTTGCAGCTGCAGATGTCGCAGCAAACGTGCCAACACGCACCGTAGCATGATTGCAGTTTCTACAAGATACAGTAGCAAGCGGTATTGTGTAATTGATGGTCAGAGGACGGCAGTGCTGACTGTCGGCATCGTTGGCTCTGAATTGTGCTTAGCACTTCCAGCGCTTCCCAACGACAGCCGGAGTACATTTGGGGTGCTGAATGTCAACGGACAGCAGTGCACCTTGCGCGCCAAAAGGATCCCTATTCAACAGAGGCACTTGCTAACCAAAGCGCCAGATCCGGCGTGGAGTCTTGCTTGAGATTTCGCCATGTCTTGTGGTCACTCAAGAAGCCTCAGAATATGTTTACTCTGAATTCGACCTGTATGGTTATGACGCAAAATGCTTCATTTTACTGGAAACCAGCAAATAATTAAAAAACAAAAAACAAAAAACAAACAAACAAAAAACAAACAAAAAAAACAAAACAAAAAACAAAACAAAAAAAACAAAACAAAAAACAAACAAAAACATACAAAAACAATAAACAGCGCACGGTTTGAAACTCAGAGAGACTCGGTGCTTCTCCCTAATCACTTTTTTTTCCCTCTCCCGAAGGAAGCACAAAGTTTCTCTGAGTTTCAAACCCTGCGCTGTTTATTGTTATTGTTTTGTTTTTTTTGTTTGTTTTTTGTTTTGTTTTTTTTGGTTTGTTTTTTTGTTTTGTTTTTTTGTTGGTTTGTTTTTTTTTGTTTTGTTTTTTTTGGTTTGTTTTTTTATTTTGTTTTTTTGGTTTGTTTTTTGTTTTGTTTTTTTTTGTTTTGTTTTTTGTTTTGTTTTTTTTGGTTTGTTTTTTTTTGTTTTGTTTTTTTTGGTTTGTTTTTTTTGGTTTTGTTTTTTTTGGTTTGTTTTTTGTTTTGTTTTTTTTGGTTTGTTTTTTTGTTTTGTTTTTTTTTTGTTTTGTTTTTTGTTTTGTTTTTTTTGGTTTGTTTTTTTTCTTTTGTTTTTTTTGGTTTGTTTTTTTGTTTTGTTTTTGTTTTTGGTTTGTTTTTTTGTTTTGTTTTTTTTGGTTTGTTTTTTGTTTGTTTTTTTCATTTTTTAAAATTATTTTCCATTTTCCAATGAATGAAGGTCTCTCGACGTCATAACTGTATGGAAGATTTTGTAAATCCAAAGATGCATTCACATCATTGAATCATCATGTCATATCATGTCATCATTGTCATCAGGCAATTTATCCGGCAGTTGGGGAGGCAAGCCATGAACCCTCAAAGGATTGAAGATGATGTTTGGCGGCAGGTGGCAAGATTGAAATACATTACATAATGCAAAGACAAATTGTAGACGCAGTGAGAGGAGAAAGAATCGTGATATCTTTTGGAAAACGTCAGTGATTCTTGTGACTCCTCTTCAGGAACGAAGACTACCTTGACTTTCCACCTGACTACAATTTTGCAGCTGAAGTATTGGCAAAAGCATGTGACACCCAGAGAGGGTCCAGAGCTGTTGTGAAGCAAGAGGAAGCGGAAGGGGAAGAGGAAGCGAAGGCCTGGCCAGCCTGCCCAGCCCTGCAAGGTTTGCCCGCCCCGCCAGCCAAACATTTTGCATGACACCTGCACGAAACACATACAGTATATACTCGCACTCGACATACATACACACAGACACACACACACACACTCTTGGAATCTCTGAATCTCTGACTTTGTAAAGCCAGTTTTAGGGGAGTTTGGAACGTATCTTTGCAAAGTGTTTCTGTTGAGTTGGTTCGGACACGAACTACTTCCGATACAATGCGCAATGCTTGTCGCTCTGCGCTTTGGTGCCTGCCTGGAAGACAAGTGTAAGTCAATAGCATTTGCCTTGGCTATGGGCATGGGCAGCTATGTGGTGTTTGGGCTATTTCCCCAATGGCCCTGTCACTAAAAGCCACCGCCCTGATTAAGTAGCACAGAGTATGCTGCATTACCGGGAGAGCAGTAGGGAGAGCAGTAGGGAGAGCAGTAGGGAGAGCAGTAGGGAGAGCAGTAGGGAGAGCAGTAGGGAGAGCAGTAGGGAGAGCAGTAGGGAGAGCAGTAGGGAGAGCAGTAGGGAGAGCAGTAGGGAGAGCAGTAGGGAGCTAAGCTTCTTCCATCCAAGAGGCGGAGGGTGTTGAGGGGCATTAATGCATGAATGAATCTTGGATAAAGTGAACTTTGCGAGAGCAGCGATAGAACATCATAAAAATTGCTTGAAATAGGACCAAACAATGCATTATACATGACTGCATGGGTCATCAAGCGAACCTGCAACACCACTCTTATTGTTCTTATCTCAACCCTGCAAGTGATTGTTTGATTCATTGAGGTTGGTTGGTTGGTTGATGATAATTGGATAAATTAATGATTTGAGCAACATGAGCAATATTTTGTTTGAACTTGGTATGCCGCAGTGCACTGGTGCACCTTTGGTGCGGTGCATGCCAGTGAGAACCAGTAGCAGTCAGCAGAGCCCAAGTGTGCCCGCATCTCTGTCGATGATTGTGCAACGCTCCTCCTACATAGGAGGGCGGCTTTGATGCAGGACAGTCTGGTTCTGATTGTTCCTTCTAAGATTCTACTACAGCTTCCGAAATCTTCCAAAATTATCCTCCTTCAAATTTCATCTACGAAATGGGGAGGACTTGGGCTACAGTACAGATTGCCAGCCAAGATTTTTTTGTACAAACAGGAGGGGTTGGGCCCCCCTTTTTGTATTTGTATTCATTTTGTAGTTGATTCCTTTCAAATCATCATTTTCATTTTGTAGTTGTATATGCAGACGGACCTTTTACCGGCCCACAAATTGGGGTGGGGTGGGGTGTGATAGCATTCGTCACTACTGCAAGACATGATGTGATGCTACGCTACGCATTCTTCTCTACTCATGATGTGATGCTACGCTACGCATTCGTCACTACTGCAAGACATGATGTGATGCTACGCTACGCATTCGTCTCTACTGCAAGACATGATGTGATGCTACGCTACGCATTCGTCACTACTGCAAGACATGATGTGATGCTACGCTACGCATTCGTCACTACTGCAAGACATGATGTGATGCTACGCTACGCATTCGTCTCTACTCATGATGTGATGCTACGCTACGCATTCGGGAAGTACTCGGCAAAGTAGGTCTTCTGCTCGCCGTAGATCCTTTGGAGTGTCGGTCAGAGCATTGTGTGTAGGAATGTCCCATCCGATCACAAGTGAAACAGGGGCCCATCATTGCGCCCTTCTTCCCGGCAAACTTTGATTTGCCTTTGTCCTTGTTCCTGCCCATGCGAACTTTGGCGACTGCAGCCTTTGCCTCAGCCAAGGTTCGGTTGGCTTCCACCGCAAGTTGGTAGGCCTCTTCGGTCTTCTTGTCCTCTTCAGTTTCCTCACCACTTCGATCCATCTGGCTGTAGGTCTCCTCATTGGTCGCCGTGTTGTCATAATCCTCATAGTAGTTCCAGGCATAGCCCCAAGAGCTAGTTGGCGATGTCCAATCAGCCCAGTATGCAGCATCTTCCCAAGACGCATCATCAGACCACCTAGGCTGTAGCATCATCGGCTTCATCCCATCTAGGTTCCCATTCTTCACAAGCATCTGCATACCAGGTCTTCCTTGGCAACCTGATTCCATCTTCTTGGAAGTCCTCGGAGAGAGTAGAGCTTGTCGAACCAGGTTGAAATGCGTGGAGTTCCTTGTTAGCGTCATCACATGTCGTCTCTCAGCAGCTGACAAACGGGCGGCTTTCAGCACTCTGTAGCCACGCAACTCATTCTCGAAAAACCCAGTCGAATCCGTTGCCAAAGTCCCGGATGCAGGCGATGGAGTCGATGTAGCCGCATAGAAAGAAGTTTGCCCACGAGGGGGAACTTCATCTCCAGCTCAAACACCACCAAAGCCAGCTCCTTGAGGGGATCTTGATGGCGATTCCGAAGGATCGCGCTCTCTAGCGCCCACACCAGTTGAAGTCTTCTCAGCCTTTGCACGCTCCACTCTGGCTCGTTGAAGGGCCTGTTTCAACTCAACGAACAGTTCTTCTTCTCGAACCAACAAGTTGCTGATCTCCTCACCACCAGACCCCCGTAGCCCCGTCCAGCGTTCCAGACGTGAGAAGGAGTCTGGTACTGGAAGCTTCTGCAAAGGGCTCTGTCGAAGGACATCTAAAAGTCGCTCCAAACCCGTGGCCGAGTCAAACTCCCTGGGGTCCAAAGGGCGGACGACATTTTTTGCGGCACCATCGAAACGCAGCCATATTCTAGGAGCTGCAAGTTTCCGGTCTGCATCCTTGAGGCCAAACTCGTACCACTTGCAGGGGTCCAAGGATCACTTAGGACGACTTTTTGGATCACTTAGGCCGACAATCTTGGATGTGGATTCAAATCTTTAGGGGTTATATTTAGGCGGGGACTGGGGAGAGTGGGGGAAACTAGAGGTACAGGGGACAACCTAACTCATATGGAGTCCATTGGCTACACACCTTTAGGGTTTATATTTAGGGGGGTTACTGGGGACAGCGGGGACAACTGGAGGTACAGGAGACAACCTAACTCATATTGGAGTCCATTGGCTACACACCTTTAGGGCTTATATTTGGGGGGACTGGAGACAGTGGGGACAACTAGAGGTATAGGAGACAATCTAATTAACTCATATTGGAGTCCATTGGCTACACACCTTTAGGGTTTATATTTGGGGGGGACTGGGGACGACAACTAGAGGTACAGGAGACAACCTAATCAACTCATATTGGAATCGATTGGCTACACACCTTTAGGGTTTATATTTAGGGGGGACTGGGGACTAAGGGACAGCGGGGACAACTAAAGGTACAGGAGACGACCTAACTCATATTGGAGCTCATTGGCTACACAAATATGTAGGATGATGATATCGATGGTGGATGTGAGGATGGTAATAATTGTGTTGATTCTTGTGATGGACTTGATGTTTGATCTGGGAACGAATAGTAGGGTAGGTGGTGGATTTGGTGCTGAACATGATGATGGGTGTGATGATGATGAAGAAGAAAACGATAAGGATGATGATCATGATGATGGTGATGTGTGGTGATGGACGGTGATGGATGGTGATGCTGGTGTTGATGAGCTGGCTAGTCAGTTCGGACGAATACTCTATATTTCATAGATAGATCGTGAGCATAGAATGCATGTGTAAGTATCTGACTTAATCAGAGTGTCTCGATGATAATCTTTGAATCCACTTGTGTAAGTCTGTTGAAATCATGTTCGGGTATATCGAAAAATTTTTCTATTGCAAATAGTTATACGCATGTATCTGTGAAATCTGTGACGTAGGCCCTAAGCGAGCCAAAACGTAGGCCTAAGCGAGGTACTGACCCACTTGCAGGCGGTTGCAAAATTCTCAAAGCTGCTTGGGCCCCCGTTCCATGTAGGAACCTCATGTCCTTGGCTTGAGGACATCTCTGCGCCGGGAGCCCCACCAAGAAGATCAGTAGCTCCGCTGACCATGCAACTGGTCCAACACCGATGACCAAACAAAAGGTCACACACGCCGACAACGGTTTTGGCTCCGAAGCTCGAGCCCGCCCTGCAGTCGCGGACAGTCACATGCTACAAGACATGCATGACACCTGTACTTGCAGTAACAAGCTCCCGAGCCCTGGGTGCCACAAAATCTGTGCACCCCGCCGGACCTCAAACCTATATACCAACTCCCGGGCTCTGCGTGCTCCATTCGCCAAGCTTGCAGACCCTGCGTGAAGCCCTTATTATATGCCAAACTATTGGAAGCTATATGCCTTGCCGGGCACTGGCCCTATAGCAAGCTCGCGCGCTCTGCGTACTCCACCGGACCTGCACCTTAAACAGCACCCGGACTTTGTGCGGCCCATGGGCTTCCGCGGACTAAATATCAAAAGCCGATATCAAAGCACGCGGCATGTTAGACGGGGTGCCGAATGAAACATGCCAGGGAAAATTGCCCATTCAAGTGAAAAACATGCCAATATAATTAAAGTATTAAAAATTCACATAAGTTTTGCCAGATCACATGTCAAACTATCTTGACAAGCCGAAGATGATGCCCGAGGGCCAGAGTTTGCCAGTCTATTGGCCTGAATGTGCGTCAGAATATATCAGAGTATCGATTGTTTGCCGCAAGATATGTCAGATATGCAAGCACGTATGTCAGAATGTGTGTCAATTTCATTCAATTTCATATCCAAACATATTTCTGAATTTCGGTAAGCAATTCAGACATTTGAGTGCAACAATTTTTGGTAAAAATATGTCAAATGTTGAAAAAGATCAGTGCAGCTCACACCAGGTAAGGCATTTTCAATTGTTTTTGTGGCTTTCTTGGTTGTGGTTGTGGTTGTTGTGGTTGTTGTTGTTGTTGTTGTTGCTGTTGTTGTTGTTGTTGGTCGTCGTCGGACACGTTGGACACGTCAGACACGTCGGGGACGTCGGCCATCATCCCGTCTTCGCCGTCGCCGCCGCCGCCACCGCCGTCGTCGTCGTCAGTCGTCAGTCGTCGCTGTTGTGGCTGCCGTTGTCGTGGCCGTTTTTGTCTGCTACGGTAGTAGCTACAGTGTTACAGTCAGCGCAGCTATTTT